TGATCCTTTGTTACAGTACTGCCTTCAACACATGCATGGGAACTCAGGGGCTTGAAACTTTCTTTCTACCTACTGTAACCAGCCTACTTATACTACAGGGGAATTAGAATTACAAACGTCGCACAGTACCCAGACTCCTACATGTGTAGCACATTGCCACTGCCACCTTACTGAGCATCTGAGTCAGACTTCCCAGTTTTAGTCTCATTTCTATAGTGAGCTCACTAAATGCATGCCAAGAGGTGCTCTCCCAACACCCGCAGGCTTGTTCTCTAGCGACTGACAGGTCTAGGCACACAGAACTATCAGTCCTGGCATATGTCATTCAAGGCTTCTTTCTTGGATTCACAGAGGCTTCTCATAGACATGGCAACAAGTGAGTCTTCTAACAATGGGACTCAGAACAATGGAACATGGGCTTGCAGACTTCGGCCAAAGCCCATTGCCCAAGTTCGTGCTGGTGATATCTGTCATCTTGCTTAAGGATTTCCCCAGATTTTCAGGTACGATGTGTCACAGTTAGTGAGCGCACTATGTATTCTCAGTGTCACTACAATCTTCAAGGTTTTATCTAGCTCCTGTGAGCATGCTTGTAAGTTAGAGCCTAAGGCATTGGGTATAGGGTTTGGCCTTCTCATCATGCATGCCCCTCAGGTACAGTGCTGTAACTAAGTCCTGTTTAGAATCCCATTGCTTCTTATGCCATAAGTTATATTCCATATCATTGCACCACGTAGCATTAGTGTTGACACGTAGTTTTAGTCCGCTCGCTCACTATATCTCAGTATGCATGTAAAACACATTAGATTGCAAAATTACATGTGTAAATAGGCTGCAGTCACAACAGCAGTACTGTGACAAAGGATCAGTTTGTGACTTCGAGCTTTGCATAGAATTAGTGAGCTCACTCAGAGAAATACAAGATACCCTTTTGATAAGACTTTTGAAAACTTAGTCAGAGTGAAGACAAATCAGTGATGCTGTTTCTGTTCTGTTAAGTGTGATAAGTCTGTTTGGAGAATGTGTTGGAAATCTGAGATCTGTTCTGTTCTGTTTTGTTTCAGTCTGTTCTGTGTCAGTCCTGTTCAAAGTTCTGTTTCTGAATCTGTTTCCAAACACTTCTGAAGTGTTCTTGAGTCAAGATAATCTGCTGGAGTTAGTTGGAGAACCCCTACATATATTTGTGTAGCAAGCAGGCTAAGTCAGTGCTTGTCTGTGGTGTTCTTTTAGCAAGCTCACTATTGTTTTGACATGTATCATCTCTGTTTCTGTTGGGATCAGTGTTCCTTGTGTATTTTAACTTGAATCTGCCTTGAAGGTTGCATCATGCTAGTGAATGTCCTTCCTGTAAAAGTTCCTAGACTTAGGAACTCATTTGAGAAAGCTTAGCTTTGCTAAGAGCATTGAGAATAAGAGAAACTCTTTGAGATATTGAGGTATAGTTGGATCACATTAGAAATAATTGTTCCCCCTAGAACTTACAAAGGTGATTGTAGTTTGTGTAGTTATGTGAGTATGTGTGGAGGTTTTTGAGGTTCACCTTTTAGCCTGCTCACTATTCCACAGGTGCCCAGAACCAGCCTCTTCAATGGGCTGAAGTTTCACAAGTATAACAGTGACTGCCTTGGAGTGATACAGTTACCATTGTCAAATGATGGTAAGGGTAGTAAGGGCAAGCTTCAGCTAAATGTTAAGCACTAACTCTAATCTGAACCAAAGTATGACCTCTGTACTGACACTCGCATTTGGTAATTCAGTGTTAGAGGGTCTTTGGCAGATTGTGAGAAGTTAGGCATCACTTAGATAGCGAGAGCAAGAAGCTTGTAAGAGTTAGGAGTGTATAACCTTAGCCGAAGCTGGGGTCTAATGCCACAGCATAGGCAAGCTTAAATACATGTTGAACTCATACTAAGAATAGTATCTACAGGAGTGTATGCAACAAGAAGTGCACTCTGCAGCGAATGAGAAGTGAGAACACTGAAAAAAGTGTATTCCTGACAAATGAGAGTAAAGAGCACATATCACCTGCATCGACATGGGACTCCATCTGTATTGATCATATCCCATAGACTGTCCTTGACTAGCAGTTGACTCTTGTCCAACCACTAAGAAGCATGATGCCACCAGGAGAAGCATGATGACACATGCAGTATGTCAGTCATCCAAGACATGCAAGTCATCAGCGAAGTAATGGCAGCCAGGTAAACAGGTAGGAGATGTGCCGGTGGAATATTATGGATCTAGGAGATAAGATATGTAGGTCTGGGGTCCTGGGAGATAAGGATAAGATAAGATAAGGACAATAGGGGTAAAGTCATAATAAGCCTACACATCTGAAGTTACAATTTCTCTTAGCTCATAAAGAGATATAACCTTTGTTATACTTCTCCTACATCTGTAGCTTTGTGTATTTTCCTCTTCTCTATAAACTGCACTAGGAAACCTTCAGTGGTTACCCTTGTGTAGCATTCTCATATTTTTAACTTCACTTGCATACCTGTGCACTTCAAAGAGCAATCTGCAGCTAGGATTGAAGTCTTTAGCCACTAACAATCTACTAGTCAAAGAGGGCCAGCATATCTGCATGGCAAGTCTGAGTCTTATGTATTTCTTTAAAAAGTAAAAAACTAGATACAATCAATTCATTTAGCTTCACAACATCATATCCATCTGTAAATGGGTTTATGGAAGCTGAATTTGAGACCTTCAATGGATGAGATGAAGAAAGATTCCTTCTGGCATAAGCTCAGCTTTGGAGCAGGGAGGTTTGTAATGCCCATAGCATTTGGCATAGTAGGACTAAGCAGAAAATTTGCCTCAAGTGAATCAAGAACTTAATAAGTGGCAAATATCATTTGATCAAGGTAGAAGAAACACCATCCACATATCAGGCTGGCACCATAGTTTTCAAGAGTCAATTTTTGAGAGATGACTGAACAAGTTTAAGAATGAGAGGAGCATCAAAAGGAACTTCAGCATAAAGAGAGTCATCGAAAGAATAAGAGAATGAAGACATCCAACAGAAAAGGTGATCTTTAGCCACAACATGTGGCCAGAAGGAATTGTTATTGATAATGCAGCCCTCCTTTGGCTTGCAAGATTTTGATTTGCTGATAGGTAAATATGGCAGAATGTTCAATGGCATCAGTGTAGCCAGAGTGAATGGGAGCAATGAAGATTGGATTGGTTCCCTACTATCAGGCATGGCAGTATATACTGACACCATATTCATAAAAGCAAATCTGTGAGTCCATTAGCCTGGAGTTATCATCAATCAGGATCAGAAGTATCACCTAAACATGGGCAATATAAGGGATGAGCTCTTTTGGAAGTGAGAAGCTAGAGTGTAGTCTGGAATCAGCTAGGCCTAGATCTCCATATGAGATAGGGTCTGCTGGGTTCATGGCAGAAGCCACATAGATGAGAGATAGGTGGATGTTTTTATCTGTGTGAACAATGTGGCCCAGTCAGTCAATGCATCTACAAAAATCTCAAGAGTAAGGGCAGGGCCTGATGGCTTGAGTGAGTGTGAGATGTTGGGAGAAGATAAGGCCTCTTCTCACTAATAAAGATCCTTGATGAGAGGCTTAGAGGGATATCTGTGGGATGACTTGTTCCCATTGAATTGGGATGAGAAGTAGAATAATGATGGGAGATGAGACATCCAAGTGGGTGGACAAAAGCAATATAGACAAGAGATCCCTGCAGTGTGAGTGTCTGTGAGAGAGGAGCTCAATCATATTGGTAAAGATCAATAAAGTTGTGAACATGTTGCAGATATTTGAGGTGCTTGGTCTTGGGGAGAGCTGAAAGGTATTAACTATGCTAAGGAATGCAAAGTGCTAAACACACACACACCCTAACACACTCAACAATTGCGGTTCAAAGGGGTAAGTTACACCTGATTGACACTTGTACTGTAAATACTAGTTTTGGGTTGACAATGGATATAAGTTGTTTGATTGAAATATTCTGAAGTGACACAAATCTGAACTTTCTGTGTTACTGAACACAATCTGATACCAATGGGCTGCCTGGTGCAGTGTCTGAACTGATACTGTCTGCCTGATTGCAGTTTTTACTGGTACTAACACGGATTCTGGACTGTACTTTTGACTTACTATCTGTATCTTTCTGAACTGTTCTTGCACACAAAATGTGACCAGGTCACTAAATACTATTCCAGGTGAGTCTAGGACTCGAAGCTCTTAACCAAAACCCATACTAATTTGCTTGGTAGCATTCTGGGGGCCAGAAACCTGACCTCCTGCTCATACATGCATTGTATTTATACTATACTACTCTACCTATATTTCCAATCCTCCAGGTATTACTAAGCTACTTGCTGATGCAGTCAGGCAGGTATGAGCTCACTTCCTGACAGATATGAGCTTATACCCCAGCTACCAGGTAGACTCAATCATGACCTCTTGCCACAGCCTGACAACCTGGTTCATGATTTCCAGTTACATCCTGGGCCATAGCAAAGCCCCTGGCTTCATAATCCAGGTTTCATACTTATCTGGCAAATCACTCACTAGTCTGAGAGACTAGGGAAGCTACCCAATAACTAACACTGTATGTAATCTTTCTTGTCTTGTGTTCAGACCGGTGCCATCAAATGACCATTATTGCTGGGATGCCGGTTCAGCTGGAGCCATGTGCTTTTGACCTGCCTGGACCTTCAGTCACTTGGGCTGAGTCATTGGATCACCAGTCTGTTGCCTGAGCCCTTAGGCTTTTCACGGCTAAGTCCTTACTGATGCAGTGGGGTTTTTAACACTTCTTTCTGTATACCTTACATGCTCTTTCTTACAAGTACAGCTACAAATGTAGTTTGTATGATAATAAAATTAGATTTTCTATGCATTTTCAAGGGTAGATGCTCAGCAGGCATATCAGAGCCACTGATTTTGCCTGGATATCCCAGTAGAAGCCAATGTAAGTGAAGAGAAAAAATCAAAGTCAGACCACTTTTCCTTATGCCAAGGAACATTGATCTAAGCAATGAGATCCTTTGTGCTCTGCATATCATACTTATATAGGAATGAGCTATGAGGGTGATAGCAGAAGACATTCAGAAGACATTGAGATTGTCAACCCACTTGACTGATGGAGAGACTTTCAACACACTCCAGATATCCATTACTGCATTTGCTATCAGACACACATTGCTCTCTAAAGATGAGCAACCAAATGGGCAGGTGTGTTCAATAAAGAAGCCCTTAGAGCCCTGAACCATAAAGTATAGTTTGTGATCAGGTAGGATTGGACATGTTCAATAGAATTTCATGATATCAAGAGTTATTGCTTGGGTGCCTAGTGGAGCTTCTGAGATCTGGAGAGAGCAAGATATTAGCATCTGAATCATGTATCAGAGAGAGTGGGAGAAATATGATCAGTATGAGGGAATCAGTCTCAGATTGAGATGCAACTAGCAGAATCATTGATCATAGCAGATGCCAATGCAATCAGTGTGAGACATGGATCAGCCCAACCAAGTAGGTATAGAAAAAGCAGAAGAAGGTTGGAGAGATCCCAACCCCCTTGGATCAGATGTATCGAGAGAGAAAAGATACTTACAATCTTTGTGACATCTGCTGCTGAACCAAATCTGGTTGGAAAATTTGCAGAGTTAATATAGTCATTGGTGGAGGGGTTGAGCTTGGATCTCTTGGACAGATTGTGAACCACCTTAAGCTTGGGAGGCTCACCTGGTCTTTGATCCTGCATATTCACCAAGCAGGGAGAGCACTGAAAAGAGACAAGGATCTTCTCCACCATCTCCTGAGAGAAAGGCCCACTCATCCTCCTGGTGGCCACCTTCTCCTCAAAGTATAGATCAATAAAAGCAATGTGAGCAGAGTCAGAAATGTACTTTGGAAAAATAACAGTTTGAGAGAGAGCAGGGAAGTTCCCCATTGGAAAACTGGAGTGAAGCTTATGCATGAGATCTGGATGTTTATTATGAAGGTTGAGCTGGTCAAGAAAGAATTTGATAGCATCTGCATTGTATAGAGTAACAATTCAGTTATAGATAGAAAGAAAGAGGTCAGATCTCCTTCCTGCATTGCCAGGCAAAAGTGTGGTGATCACTGGAGAGACACTGTGAACATTTATGAAAGGTGGAGGAGATAGACTGTGTGCTTGCATTAGCTATGCCTATTAGCATTGATGTTGAAGGGGATACAGATGTGCTTACCTGTGGCTTTGACCATGACAACAGGATCAGATTTATCATTGCAGAGTTTGCATTTGGTGGAATCTCCTGACTTGAAATTTTGGTAGCTGCAATCTGAGATCTTGTGCCCCTTCCTAGTGCAGATGAGGCAAACATCAGCAAGAGGCTTGGCTAAGTTGCCTGAGTAAAGAAAATGAGCACCTTTCTTTATCAATGTAGTAGCCATGGAGGAAGAAGAATCTGTGAGAGTGAAAGACATCTTGGCAGATGCCACTGATGGACTCCAGCCTAGCCTTTCACAGCCCACACATTCTCTCTTTCTTTCTCCCTCAGGTCTCTTTCTCTCTCCTCATTGCAGATGTCACTCTTGGATTTCTCTAGGGATGAGTTATAGCATTCCTCTGTGAATATGAATGCATTCCCCAAGGCCAAAAGGTGAGTGTGGTAGTCCTTTCTCATATGCATGCATGTTCTGAGTACTGCAGGAAAGTCCAGAAACAGTCCAATAATATTGTAAAAGAAACTGAAGTGGAGATCCCAGTGCCTGGTCCAGATACCACCATCCAGTTTTCTCATGAACTTGATGTATCAGGGAAAGGCATCATGATACTGGACCTCCATCATTTCTGACTGCTTGCTAAAGCTTGAGTGGTCAACATCTAGGTTCCACACTGATAGGCCACTTGGAAGGTATACTTTTACTATCAGAAGCAAAAAACTCATGGACTGTATGTAGATGAGATTTTCAGAGATAAATAGGTGGAGGAGGAAATATGCATTGCTGTCATCAGCTGCCTTTACTAGGACCATGTGGAACTCATTAAGGTGTCAAAAGTCCCCTAGCTGTCTTACCAGTTCATCTTTCCATGAGAATTTTTTCTTCCTGCACTCTTTAACCTCCTTATGAGTCTCTGCATCAGGTATACCCTACTTTTGAGACCCAAAGATGTCTTTGTATTGCACACCAACTCAAAACAGCACAAGGCATGAGTCCAACGTGTCACTTGCATTCAGTGATTCATAGGGTGGACAGTGTTGTGAGTTCTCATGGATAGTGACGGACAAGTTAGATGCAAAACAGGGAGATCAGTAAGAGTTGGGAGTGTATAACCTTCACCAAAGCTGGGGTCTAAGGCCACAGCATAGGCTAGCTTAAATACATGTTAGACTTGTACTAAGAATAGTATCTATGAGGGCACATGCAGCAAGAAGTGCGCTCTGTAGTGAATGAGAAGGACACTGAAAGAAGTATGTCCCTGACGAATGAGAGTAAAGAGCACGTATCACCTGCATCGACGTGGGACTCCATCTGTATTAACCATATTCTGTAGACCACCCTTGACTAGCAGTCAACTCTTGTTGAACTACTAAGAAGCATGATGCCATCAAGGGAAGCATGATAGTACATGCAGAACATCAGTCATACAGGACATGTGAGTCATCAACAGTGAAGAGGCTGGCTGTGGGCACCTGTGGAATAGTGAGCAGGCTAAAAGATGAACCTCAAAAACCCACACACACACTCACACAACTACACAAACTACAATCACCCTCATAAGTTCTAGAGGGAGCAATTATTTCTAATGTGATCTGACTATACTTCAATATCTCGAAGAGTTTCTCTTATTCTCAGTGCTCTTAGCAAAGCTAAGCTTTCTCTAATGAATCCCTAAGTCTAGGAACTTTTACAGGAAGGTCGTTCACTGGCACGATGCAACCTTCAAGGCAGATTTGAGTTAAAATACACAAGGGACACTGATCCCGACAGAAACAGAGGCAATACATGCTGAAACTTTAGTGAGCTCACTAAAAGAACACCACAGGCAAGCACTGACTTAGCCCGCTTGCTACACAACTGTATGTAGGGGTTCTCCAACTAACTTCAACAGATGATCTCGACTCAAGAACACTTCAGAAGTGCTCGGAAACAGATTCAGAAAACAGAAACTCGAAACAGAACTGATGCAGAACAGACTGAACAGAAACAGAACAGAACAGACAGAACAGAACAGAACAGATCTTGCTTTTCCTCTTCAGAACATACTCTGGACAGACTTATCAACACTCAATGGAACAGAACAGCTTCACTAATTCTTATTCTCTCAGAACTAAGTGCACAAAAAAGTCTTTTCTCAAGGGTATCTCATATTTTTCTGAGTGAGCTTGCTAATTCTACACAAAGCTCAAAGTCACAAACTGATCCTTTGTTACAGTACTGCCTTCAATGCATGCATGAGAACTCAGGGGCTCGAAACTTTCTTTCTACCTACTGTAACCAGCCTACTTATACTACAGGGGAATTAGAATTACAAACGTCGCACAGTACCCAGACTCCTACATGTGTAGCACATTGCCACTGCCACCTTACTGAGCATCTGAGTCAGACTTCCCAGTTTTAGTCTCATTTCTATAGTGAGCTCACTAAATGCATGCCAAGAGGTGCTCTCCCGACACCCACAGGCTTGTTCTCTAGCGACTGACAGGTCTAGGCACACAGAACTATCAGTCCTGGCATATGTCGTTCAAGGCTTCTTTCTTGGATTCACAGAGGCTTCTCATAGACACGGCAACAAGTGAGTCTTCTAACAATGGAACTCACAACAATGGGACGTGGGCTCACGGACTTCAGCCAAAGCCCATTGCCCAAGTTCGTGCTGGTGATATCTGTCATCTCGCTTAAGGATTTCCCCAGATTTTCAGGTATGACATGTCACAGTTAGCAAGCACACTAAGTATTCTCAGTGTCACTGCAATCTTCAAAGTTTTATCTAGCTCCCATGAGCATGCTTGTAAGTTAGAGCCTAAGGCATTGGGTATAGGGTTTGGCCTTCTCATCATGCATGCCCCTCAGGTACAGTGCTGTGACTAAGTCCTGTTTAGAATCCTGTTGCTTCTTATGCCATAAGTTATATTCCATATCATTGCACCATGTAGCATTAGTGTCGACGCGTAGTTTTAGTCCGCTTGCTCACTATATCTCAGTATGCATGTAAAACAACTTAGATTGCAAAATTACATACATAAATAGGCTGCAGTTGCAACAACGGGATGACAGCAACTGGGTAAATGGGTATGAGGTGTGCCAACAGAATATTGTAGGTCCAGAAGATAAGATAGGTAGGTCTGGGGTTCCAGGAGATAAGGATAAGATAAGATAAGAAAAAGAGGGGTAAAGTTATAATAGTTTGATTGAGCCAGGGTTGAACTTAGATATTACAGTTTTATCCCTATTTTCCTTATTTTATCCTATCTTATCCTTATCTCCTGGAACCCTAGACTGACCTATCTTATCTCATGGACCTACAATATTCCACCAGCATATCTTCTACCCGTTTACCTGGTTGCTGTCACCTCAGTTCACAGCTGCTGCATCCCAGATGACTGACATACTGCATGTGCCATCATGCTTCTCTTGATGACATCACACTTCTTAGCAGTTTAATAAGAGTCGACTGCTAGTCAAGGGCGGTCTATGAGATATAGTCTATTCAGACAGAATCCTGTGTCGACACAGATGATGTACACTCTTTACTCTCATTTGTCGGGGACACACTTCTTTCAGTGTCCTCACTCCTCATTCATTGTAGAATGCACTTCTGGTTGCACATGCCCCTGTAGACACTATTATTAGTACAAATCTAACATGTATTTAAGCCAGCCTATGCTGTGGCCTTAGATCCCAGCTTTGGCTAAGGTTATACACTCCTAACTCTTACAAAGCTCCTTGCTCTTGCTACCTAAGTGATGCCCTAACTTCTTGCAATCTGCCAAACACCTCTCTCACACTGAATCACCAAACACAAGTGATAGGATAGAGACCAGCCTTGGTTCAGATTAGAGTTAGTGCTGAACAGAAATTGGTACAGAAACAAAGGGGGAATTCATGCTGAATAGTAAAAAAAAATTTCCACCCATTCAGATTTTTCTAGGCCAAGGCTAAATTAGACCTTGTGGTTATAACTATAAAATTTGGGATACAACTTTATGGTTATATCCAGGATACTAAGGCTCAGATATACAGTCTGGACTGATAATTCCTAGCTTTCACTCTGCAGTTCAGTAATAAGTTTCTTAAGTCTTTGGTAGGTTCAAGTGCCATTGCTAAGATCTGAATTGGTGAGGTTAAGCATAGCAGGGCTGCATAATCTGACAATAAACAATGATCTCTGTCTTCACTCAAATGGGTGTAAAAGACTGAGGTGTGCAATGGGATGAAAAAATCTAAAGTACAGTAATGATTGCACTATTGAATGGGGACTACTCATCTATAAATAGTGATATGCAAAAGGCCTAATGGTGGGTGTCAACTGAGCCTTTTGACACAAACATAGAAGATCACATTAAAACACTGAGATCCTACCAGGAAAAGCTTGCAGCTCTTAGTCAAACAATGCAGAAGAAGACTTTTCTATTACTCTACTTACATCATTACCAGAGTCATTGAATGCCTTTATTTCCTCAATAGACACTGCAGACCTCAAAGACTCATATAAATTAATTTTACAAGTATTACAGGAGAATATATGATGAAGGGATAAGAATCCCAATGCAAACACAGCCCTAGCAGCCTGATCACATAAAAAAAAGTACAATCTGAATGTCATCTGTTTTGGGTGTGGAAACTATGGCCATGTGGTGGCTGATCACCAATCTGGAAAGAATGATGCTGAAAAACCAAAATGGAAAGGGAATTCCAAATGGAAGAGCAAGGATCACACCCACATGGACATCAAACTCGACATGAGAAATGAACAGCTCAAGTTTGAACAGGGCCAAGCTAGTGATACAATAGCAGCACTGTATTTGCATCTGTTTTATATGATTGAGTAGTACCAATGTTTGTAGACTTCATAGAATACCTCTTGTCATATTTTGTCTTTCAAATTTACTTGGGTTCTTGTCCTTAAGGCCAACTCTGTCATGAATTCACCCCTATTTTTTGCTCATCTTATCTTATCTCATCAACTCATCATTTGACTCTCGTCATCATTCCTCGTACCTAATCTGCATCATTCATGACCTGATCAATCACATGCATGATTCACCATTCATATGCATGATCCGTTTGATGGCCCATAGATCTGATCACATGACTATAGGCCCAACCCTCCTTCAGCCAGTCACGCTTCTTTAGGTTGACTCTGATCACATCCTAGGACAGATAGGATGTCACGTATACCTCCTAGAAGATAGCGCCATATGAGCGCTAGTCTTCTTATTTGCAGGGGAACTTCTAGCATACCAAACGTGCCAGCCTAG